TCAACAGAAAAGTGGGACTTGAAAAGTCACATGACAAAGAAAATATTCAAATGATGAATAACATTGAGATGCTGCTACACACCCACCGGAATGGCTCAAATTAAAAAGACTGAGAATATTAAGAATTGAGGAGGATGTAGAGAAACAGAACCTCATACACTGGTGGTGGGAGTCCACCTGCTTAGGAGCATTGGCATTAACTAATGTACCTTCCAGCCTAGGAATTCCACTCCTGGTTACATACCTGCAGAAATGTGAGTACACATGCACCAAAAGACATGTACGAGAATATTCATCATAGTGTTATTTATAAGAACCCAAAGCTGGAAACAATCCAAAAGCCCATCAACAGTAGACTGGGGAAATAAATTGGGTTCTATTCATATAATGAGATATCCTAAAGATGTGAACGTGGAAAACTAAGGCCACAAACAATGACACGAATAAAGCTTATGAACATAATGTTGAGCAAAAGAAGCCAGACATACAAAAAACACACACACTGTACGATTCCATCTATATGAAGCCAAAAAAAAAGCAAAAACAAAAGGTAAAACTAAACCACAGTGTTTACGGATTAATGCTCAGGTTATGGTAAAACTATAAAGAAAAGCAAGCAAGTAGTTTCCATAAAAGTCATGACAGTTTTTTTTCCTTTGAAGGAAGGAGGAGGTAAGAATTGAGAGGAGTCACAAAGGGCCACTTCTGGCATCCTGACAACACCTAGTTCTTGATTTGACACAGGTGTTTGCTGTGTGAGAAATCACGGAGCTGAACATCTTTGTCTTGCGCACTCTTTTGTATGTGAGTTATAGTTCATGATAAAAAGGGTTTTATAGACACACTCACACACACACGTCTACATATTTAACACAATGTTAAGCACCCAGCCTCATGCCTGGCACATAACAGATGCTCAGAGAACATAAGGTTGCTTCTCTTCCCCCATTCCTTCTTTCTTTCCAGCAAGGAGAGAAGAAAAAGAGGAAAATGTGAATTTTCATAAACATCTCATTTCCCAAGTACAGGCACCATCATTCTCTTGCTTTCTTACAACAATCTCATTGCCATGGCAACTGCAACCAAAGGTTGAGCATGTGAAGAGAAGGAGGGACATGAGCATGACAGCCTGAACTTGATTACCTCCTTGCACGAGGAAATCCTCGCTAATCACTGAATTGCTGGAGCCCTAAGCCAAAGGCACCCATTAACGGATAATGTGTTTGTTTTATATTTTATTTTTCCTTCCAAAAAACAAAGCAAAACCTTTGTTTTAAAGGCTTACCTTTCCCACAACTGCAGTTAATCCTATAATCACTGGGTGAATGGTTATCGAGCCAGACATTCTTTGTGCGTCAGAGAAGCAAGAGGTCAGCAGTGGAGGCATTGTCCTCCATGGGATCGCAACGCCTGGGGAGGACTGGGGACAGGGTTGGGTGGCAGGCACAGCGGGCTGTGGGCTGCAGGGAGCTGCCACTCAGTTGCTCCTGCTCCGGCAGGCGTGTTTCAGCCTGCACCCACCGGGCAGGGTGTCTGCATCGCCCTCCCGCTCTCAAGCCTCAGCTTCTTACCCACAGCCGCTTGACATGTTTAGAACAACACTTGGGAAAAACAATCTATCAGAGACATCCGAAAATCAAGGAGGTGCCAAAGGCCACTTTTAAATTATTCCCCCCAAGCCATATCCTCCCCTCCCCCCCCACCCACACATCCATACGTCCTATTCACCTACCAGATACCAATCTTGGAAAGAGATGAAGGAATGAGATTTCTGGGCCTGATAATGAGTAACAAGTCTCAAAGGGCCAAATGCTGAATTCACAAAGGACTTTGGAGGCTTATTTTCAGCTGATGTTGAAACTCTCTCTGGTGACCTCAAAGGAAATTCTGCATGTAGCAGAGATTTGTTCTGCAAGGCAGATCAGACTGGAATTCCTTATGGGCTGGACGGAGGTGGGGGACAGGGGAAGGGAGTCAGAAGGAGACATCTGGGACTTGGCTTTCTTGGACCCATGGAATTAGGCCAGAAGCATTCCTCTGGTTTATAGAAGTGAGAATCTCTGAAGACTAGGTTATTGATTAATTAACTCAGCAAATAGTTACTGAACCCTCTAGTATGCCTGTGCTAGGTGCAGGAGTTAGACTAGCCAAGCAGACACACTGTGGCCCTCGCCCCATGGAGTGTAAGGACAGGGGTGTGCTGGGGCTCAAAAGCAGACTCCCAGTGAACCAGCAACATCCGTGTCCACAAGGGCATTGTAGGGTGACCAGCCTCAAAAAGGAGAAGAGAGACAGTTGGAGAATTTGCAGGTCAGAACAACCATCAATTCTTCCATTTCAAGTCTGCAGAAGTCTGGCAGGAGCGCAAGGTAGGAAGAAGAGGGTAGGGTATACGGCTGTCACAGATGGCTTGCATCCACAAGGACCCCAACTGTACATGGTCAAGATGAGCCAGAGAAAAGGAGAACCCAGGGATATGGTTGGGGAGATTGGTTATCTACATAAATATATAAATTGTGTCAAGAACCAGGCAGATTAACTAAAGGCCAGAACAGCGCCATCTTGCAAAATAGCAAAAATAATCAGAGTAACAGCACAGATACTTATCTATCTTCTTCCAGGGAGTCCAGAACTAGAAGGAAGAGAAAATAAAACACAAGTGGCAGATGCGAGGTGGACTGCCCAGAGGTCAGCCAAGAAGGACACATACTGCCAGTCTGCTCGTGGGTGGAGAGCTGAAGTTATAATGTCCCCATCCATCTGGGGCACGTAAGAGATCCACCCAGGGATGAGGCTTGCCTGCTGGTCTGGTCATGCTATGATTTCCAGAAGGGACTGGTGCACAGGCAGCAGAACGAGCTGAAAGGGGAGCACTTCCTAGTCTTGACTGAGCTATGGATTCCTCTGCATGACCCCTGGCAAGCTTCTTCCCTCAACAATTTCCTCATTTGCAAAGCATCAAAAACACTCATTATAGCAATTCCAATTCCATTACCTTCATTATGCTCACTGCCAAAATTAAATAGTGTAAAACCAACATACCCTCCATAATCCTCCCCATGACACCATCCTCAATATTTATAAAGTGTTTTCCAGCCAAATTAGACCAGGGAGAATAGGACTTTAACATCCAGAGAGAGGGAGATGAGGCTGTCTCTTTCCACGAGATGAAGCCACGGGCCCTGCATAGTTACTGCAGATGACCCAAGGGCACCAAAGGTAGGATCTCAGCCAACTTGGAGAGCTGAGCAAAGCCGAGCTTCTCTAAGCCCTCACACCCAGCAGGACCACAATCCAACGATATGCCCTAGTCAGTCATAGACTGCTGTGTGGTGGGATGTTTACCCTTCACATACATAAGTCTTTCCTCCACTGCTGGATTCTAGGACAATTCAGGACAGGGACTGGTCATTATTCTTCTTTATTTCTCCCTCAGTCTCTAGAACTAATGCTTGGTGTTCACTAAATTCTTGTCGATAGAACAAATTCAACAAACATCTGCCAAATGTTTAGTGAATGGATCCTGTGTGACAGGAACTGCGCTATGACAAATAGGTGTTGTTTTTAAAGGTCCAAGCAACTCTCTAGGTAGGCGCTCACCATTACAACACTGTTGTCAGTTCGTTTTCAAAAATAGCCCATCATATCAATACTTATCCCCAGAATAGCTGCCTCCGGGAAGTGACAGGGGAGGGCACCGTTCCTTGGCTTCCCACAGGCCAGCTCCAGCCCAGTGTCCACAGCAGGGTTGATCCAGTTCTTTCTGAGTGATCCAGCACCTACCGCGGAGCTTGACAGGCCAGAAGCAAGTTACTGCTACAAGTTTTAGGGGCCTGTAGGGTCCCAAAGTTCACTCAAGAGACAAAGAAGGGAACTCAGCTTAAGAGTTTTATTGGTTCATTATGAGTTGGATTGTTTTCTGAGATTCTGGTAATAGGATTGAGGGGAGGCAGCACAGAGGGAAGGATGGGGTCTTAGGAGACTCAGGGAGAGTCAAGCAAGGGGAACATTCCAGAGTGACAGTGAAACTGTGTAGAGTGTCTTCTCAGGTGGTGTAAAAGTGAGAGCAGCCGTTACAAACTTCGTGGCTTTGATAGAGGAATGGAACAGAAAACCTGAGTGCTGTTATCTTATCACACACCTTCTCAGGAAACAAAGCTAGAAATGTCCCCTGACAGCCAGCCTGGTTCTTGCCCTACACTCAGAGTCCAGACCTGTAGACACCTGAGCAGACCCAAGCAGGTCAATGCAGATGATATCGTCTTCTGCATGTGCTTTCCAGGGAACCAGGCCTTTGGGGACAAGATACTATGTCCTCTGAACCTTTATCTAAGTCCTGAAAGCTGAGGCCAGGCTCTTGCTTTGCTGACTCACAGATTTCCTGGAAAGCTGTTCTGACTGGAGAATGCTGGTGGAGACGCTCTGCAGATCTAACCCCTCTGGGCTCCCCCTCCTCCCTCCACTCACATCCTAGGGCCAAAGTGGCCATGCAGCTGAGGACCACGAGGACATTCAGTCTTTGCCATGATGCTTCTCTGCCCACACTGATGACCTCCTGCTAGACCTCTGTGAGAATTCAGACCTGCACTGAACCAGAATGAATTGTGGCATTGGTGCAAGGTTGAATCTCTGTACCCCAAATGAGGAAGACAAAGGCCTTGTAGTACAGGGCTCTCTGAATTGCACCAGCTTTGGAGAGGGCCAAGGCCAAGAGCCTGCTGGGGCAGGGTGTGAAGAGTAGCGCCCCCCCTTCCCCACCCCCCATTCTCACCCCCTGTGGGATGTCGTGGACCAGGGAAGCCTTCTACCCATGAGGCACACGGGAGATTAGAGACTTCTCCCTTGACCTCTCTGCTGCCTCAGAGGGTGACCATCTTACTTATTCTCATCCACAATCCACGTGTAGCAAAGGGGGCTGCACTTCTTCCAAGCCCTTCCCTGGGGCCACTTGCCCTGAAGCAAGACTATCAATTAAGTAACACAGCAACTCTGTTGAATTCCAGAGCTCAGAGCCACAAAGTCCCAGAGTTGGAAGAGACTGCAGGCTATCCATCCTTACCCCCCATAGATGCGAGTTACAACTGCAACACCAAGCCAACGGGCCATGTAAGTTTTTTCTTCTAATAAAAGAATCATATTTCGCTTTTCTCTGGGCTATACATTCTCCATAGCTTTACTCATTCTTTATAAGATATGACACTAGACACAGGTATGTGGCCAGCCACCATCCCGGGCATACAAAGATGAATGAGACAGAGTACTGAGGGTGGCAAATCAGTACAACGCCCTGAGTGCCCTGTGGAGCCACGTGCCAAGTGCTGCAGGAAGTGCAGGGAAAGGAGCAGTCGGCAGCAATAGGAAGGATTCTCAGAATGCCTGCTGCCTGAGCTGGGTGCTCTGGAGGATGCAAGAGATTTACCAGATGGACAAATGGGAAAGGAGGGTACTCTAGGCAGACGAACTAGCACTGACTCATTCCTTCCTTCCTTCAATCAGCTGATATTTACCGAGTACCTGCCTTGTGGCGAGACCTGCCCTAAGTAGGAAAATAAGAGTGAAAAAAGAAACATTGCTCCTGCCCTCAGGAAGCTTACAGTCTAGGTTGGGATACAGGTAAGAAAAAAGGCAGCAAAGACACAGCAATGCAAGAACATGGAAAAAAATAAGTGCTTTGAGAGCCCATAGGAGGGCGCTAAATCTGTGTCTATCAGTGAAAGCACGGCGTGAGAGCAAGCTTGGTAAGCTCAGTGGACAGGGTGGTGACAGCATGGAGCCCACCGGGGGAGCAGAGGGAATGTGGGTGCAGAGACAGGCTTAGAATATGGAAAGTCTTGGGTTTTATTACTTAGGCAGTGGGAGAAAGAGCATTGAAGACTTTAAGTAAGTGAGTCATGTGATCTTGTTTATGTTCAAAGGAAACCTCTCCGGGAACAGTGTGGAGAACCTGCAAGGAAGGCAAGAGATGGATATGGGAAGACCAGCAGGTTGCAGTGGTTTTCATGGGTCATGTTTATCTCCTCTCTATGAACCCTACTGTGTCAATTTCCCTCTTTAAGCATGATGCCAGAATGGAATGACATGCCATAGGTGTGAATTGACCAGCACAGAATTCCATAAGATAATTAATTATTGTAGATACCACTCTTCTGTGATTGCTGCCTGGGATGACAATAGCTTTAAGTGACATATCACTCTGCTGCTTCATATGGAGCTCATTATCAACATAAATTCTGGGGTCACTTTCTCTTTTACTGTGGCCAAATACTGGTTCCCTCATCTGATATTTAGATATTCAGTTCTTGCTACCAAAATGCAGAAATCTCCATTCCTTCTTGTTAAATGTCATTTTGTTAGCTCTGCCCATTCATCTAGTCCAACAGAATTATTTGGGATCCTGTGTGCTCTGTCAACATATTTTTATCTTGCCTAGCTTTGCAACATCTGCACATTGGACTATCATTCCAATGATGCTTTTATTTGAGTCCTTGATAAAGTTTTTGAACATGCCAAAGGGTGAGAGGGTAGAATATGCCATTTATAAATTCAAGTGATAAAACTGCTTCACAAGTCAATATTTTGCCATGATGTTCAGAAATAACAGAAGAATCTTTTTTTCAAACAGCATGTTGAAATCTGGACAAACTATGGCATCGCCCAGGGACACTTTCCAAACGAAAGAATGTGCTTCATTTGACAAAAGCTGTTTTTGGTAAACCATTCTTGAATCCTGGGCATTATCACTTTCTTCTCCAAGGATCCATTGACAATCCTTTCAACCAACTGTTCCAATGGTCACTTCTCAGTCCTCATCTTACTTGACCTTTTAGCGGAGTTGACACAGTCGATCCCTCCCTCCTGCTTAAAACCCTGTCTTCGCCATCACCCTCTCCTGGTTGCCCTTCTACCTCACAGGCTGCTCCTTTTTGTTCTCCCCATGCTTCTTCCTCCTCTTCTCAACATCTCATCATTAGGATGCACTCCAGCTCAGTCCTGAGACTTCCTGTCTTTTCTAGTTACTTTAGCCCCTTGTTGACTTCAGCATCCTTGTGGATGTACCTCTCCAACCTTGGCCTCTTTGATCTCCAGACTCATGAATCCAACTAGCTGCCACATGTCTCTTCTTGGATGCCAAATAAACGTCCAAATATAACACATCCAGGAAAAAGCTCCTCATATCCTCACATCCTGTAAGCCAGATACTCTTGTAATTGTCCTGTTTCAGTTACTGTCACTCCACCATTCCAGCTGATCAGGCCAAAGTCCTTGCAATTAACCTTGACTTCTCTCGCATTCTCTCAGCCTCATTCAATCTATTGGAAAATCCAATGTTTCTATCCAGAATTTGACTACTTCTTAGACCACGTCTCAGCACCTCCTTTGGGTCCCAGCCTGATTCAAGCCATCATAGCTGCATGGTTTATTACAGGAACCTCATAACAGGCCTCCCTGCTTCCACTGTAGCCTCCCTTCAGTGTAGTACACCATTGAACGAACTTTTAAATGTAAACCAGAGCACGTCACTCCTCTGGTCAACGGCTGCCACCTCTCTAAGTAACATTCCTGGTCATTACAAGGCCCTGCAAAGTCCTGCCCAGTCTGGCCTCCTATTTTCTCTCTGACCCCATCCTCTACCATTCTTTCCCCAAGTCCTTCCACTGCAGCCACACTGGACTCAGCTGTGCTGGGAACACACCAGACACGCTTCCCTCTTGGGCTCTTGGACTTGTGGTTCCTTCTCCAGAGAGCCATGAGTCTTCAGGTTTTACTAAAATGTTGTCTTATGTCAAAGACCTTGCCTGACTCTGTTCTTTAAAATGGAACCCTCTCCCTCTAATATTACACATCTTCTTGTCCTACTCTGTTCTTCTCCGTACCACCTATCAGCAACAAACCTATTATATATCTACTTATTTTAAAAAATTCTATGTCTCCCCTGCTAGACCTACTACACTGAAGAAGGCATAGAGTTCTGTTTATCTTGTTCCCTCCTCTATTCCCAGGACCCAGCACAGAGCCTGGCACACAGTAGGTATGTAATAATATTTGTTGAATAACCATATAGTTAGAAATTTTGCCTGGCACTGACAGCACTGAGAAAACTCACTTCTTTGATTTTCAAACTTGGTATGTATTTGTTCATCTCTGTCTTCTAGACTTTTCTCTGATTGCTATGATGTCTCATCGATTACCAGCAGATCAGCCATACAGGAGTGGGAGTAGCAGCTAACAATGACTGAGCACCTGACAGGCTCCAGGCTGAGTGCTCGGAATAGACAGAATCTTATTGACACCCTTCAACAATCCTATGAAGCAGGTATGATTGTTTTACCCATTTAACAGATGGAGAAACTAAGACATAGACTGACTGGGTAATTTCTCCAAGGTCATGCAGCCAGCAAGTGACTGAGGCGAGATTCAGACCCAGGTAGTCTAGCTCCACGGCCTGTGTTCTTAACTATTCATCTGCATCTACAGTAATGCCTTCTGGAAAACGTTTTCAGGATTTTGGAATATAATTCATTCAGGCCAGGATATATCAGCTAACTCGAGGAGACAATTTCACTTGCATGCTCCTCGTTCTTTGGGGATGTCGATGTCTTCTGCTCTTTTTGGTCTCAAAATCATTCACTTTGACAAAGCAGTTGAAAGCAAAATAGACTCCACCACCCATCCCTAAGGACAGACTCAAATCTCCTTCATTTGTTTGCTCAAATAAAGCTTTAAAAAGCTTTGTTAACATTTTTCGGATCTCCTACCTTCCCGACACGCCTCTTATAGCTCAATACCAGTCTTTTATATCTTACGTTGTTTTGGGTCAACAGTCACTCTTCCACCTTTGGCACCTGTTCTTTTTTAAGACTGAGTTCATCTGAGAGTTGCCTGGGTAGCCACTTTTGCCTTTTTATTTACTGATCTATGTCTATTAAGATGGCCTTTTTAGATCCCTTGTGCTCTCCTTCCATGTCAGGGGCAGCTGAGATCTCACTGGTGGAATCTCACTCTAGAATGCCTCTCAGCTGGCATTCCCATTGGGTTGACTCCAGCAGAGTCGTGCTCCTTGTCCACAGTGTGGAGTTGTTGCCGAGAGGGGCTTTCCAGCAGGGACTACATTTCCCAGCCCCACTTGAGATGGGAACCTTGTGGTTGACTTCTGGCCAATGGCATGTGGACAGAAGAGATGTATACCCCATACAAGGCTAATCCAAAAAGGCCTCCTCCTGGCTCTCCACAGCTCCCTCCCCGATCTGCAAGCTGGATGTCTCCACTCCAGCTGACTTTGGAAGCCACATGTTAAAAGGGTAGTGCCTCTGCTGGCCCAGGGGACTAAGTCAACTCTTTCCCAATTAGAGTTTGTGGGAGTACAAAATAAACTTCTAAGGGCCAGCCCAGTGGCATAGTGGTTAAGTTTGCGCACCTCACTTTGGCGGCCCAGGTTCGCTGCTTCAGATCCCAGGCATGGACTAAGCGCCACTCATCAAGCCATGCTGTGGCGGCATCCCACATAAAATAGAGGAACATTGGCACAGATATTAGCTCAGGACCAATCTTCCTCACACACACACACAAATAATAAAATAAACTTCTGTCATGTTAAGCCACTGAGATTTGAGAATTTGCATACAGTTATGCATCACTTAATGACGAGGATACGTTCTGAGAAATGTGTCATTAGGTGATTTCGTCATTGTGTGAATATCATAGAGTGTACTTACATAAACCTAGATGGTGTAGCCTACTACATACCTAGGCTATATGGTACTAATCTTACGGGACCACTGTCATATGTTTGGTCTGTCGTTGACTGAAATGTTGTTACGTGGCATATGACCGTATTACAATAGCTAAGATCACCTTAACTAAGATAAACCATATGTATGTTTTTCCATGAGCCTATTGCAATCCTCTCTCTACAGTCTGGAAAATGCATTGAGCCTGTAGCTCAGCTTTCTCTCCTTGGCCACCACGAGCTTTACAGATAAATAGGTACACGTCCCAACAGTCCTATGGCTGCCTCTTCATAAGTTCTCCATGTCACAGTTCCCCTCAAGATGCTTTCTACCTTTTGGAAGAGAAAACTGTCGAAAGACATGAAAGGCAGATGAAGCTCTCTAAACAACTGGCTTGGTAAGAGGCCATCTGGATCCTATTACAAGAGAGAGGAGAGTACGAAGGAAGCGAGGACTGAGGGAGGAGGCCAGCGTTTGGGTTCTTCCTGTTGGGGAGCCTGGAACAAGCTCCAGGCCACGTATGAGACTTTGCATCTGGCCCTGAGGGCCAGGTCAAGAAGGAGGTTCTTGCCCACCCTGCATGTGAGGCAGCAAGAAGCTGCTGTCAGGTCCAGCCACCGAGTGGCTTGGTGTCTTCTTGTGCAGCCTTTATGCTTCAGTGACAGCTCGAGGTTCCCAGGACAGATGGGTGAAATGAAAGCAGAGCCCGGGTGGCAGGGAGTAAATGAAAGCAGGTTGAACTCTTAGCCAGAGAAACAAGTTTCTAGAAGGCCCATGTCAGGCACCCTATACCTCCCAGCAGAAGGGAGCTCACTGGGGAGCTTCACAGGGCTAGCACAGGCAGTGTGGCCCGGGACCCTGAGCTTAGAGCAGCTGCTGGCTGTTTGGCTTCGGCTGTTTTGGGTTTTTTTTTCCTACATAAAATGAGAATAAGGCAATTGGTTTGCCCTATTTGGAAGTAATATTAAATATCCAAAATAACTGGTATTAACAACAATAATAAACACATGTGGAGCATTTCCCAAGTGCTAACCACCATTCTAAGTGCCTTACACAAATTAACTGAGTGAATCCCAAAACAAATTCTGTGAAGCAGTGCTATTAGAATCCCATTTTATGGATGAGGGGCCTGAGGACCAGAGAGGCGAAATGTCTCGTCAGAGACCACACAGAGTCCGTGGCAGTGCAGGGGACCTACACCTAGGCAGCCTGGCTCCTGACTCCATGTTCTTAACCACTGTGTGGCCTCCAGAGAACACTCCTGTTTACTACCCACCGCAGGGGAGCGAGTAATCCTCCCCAGGGCAGAAAGTGTCTAACACCACGCCCGACACACCTCAGGCACTGGTTACACTGGCTTCCCCACTCCCTGCTTTGTCTGGATGCTGAGGGACTCAGAAAGGGTAAAAGGCCCTATTGCAGGTTTCGGAGAAGGAGGTAGCTTTTGTGTCGTGGCAGAACACTGAAGTAGGTAGGAGTCAGAAGACCACTTAGCTTCGTGATCTTAGGCAAGTCACTGAAGCAATCGGAGTTTTAATTTCTGTGTTTATAAATGGAAAATATGCCCCTTGCAGGGCTGTGATGAGCTCTAACCATGAAAAAGCCCATTACCATTCCTAGCATTTAGTGACACTTAAATAAGTTAGTGGAGTGTGACTCTGAGCCAGGCTCCAGTTAGTTCTAGGTAGGTGGGATCCCGTGGGGCAGGCAGGGGCCTGTGAGCAGAAGGAGCTGTCCTGCACTAACGTTGCTTGGAGGGCTCGTGTCCACAGAGGCCATTGCCCTTGGGCTCCAATTCTCAGGAACAAAGATCTTACCATCCCTGCGCAGCCTGGAGCACAAGGTCATAGAGGTGGCCAGGTGGCCACAGTCTCCCTGAGCAGAGCTGGCTCTCGCCCACTCAGCTGCAGGGCAAAGAACAGGCCTTGAAGCCCATTTCTCAGAAGCTGAGTTAGAGCATTCACGGGCTTTCTCAGATGCATGGCCCCAGTTAGTGAGCAGTCATGGCTGCGAGACTGCCCCCTGCTCAGAAGGCTGCTCTTCCGCCTCCTCTGAGCACCCCTCAGCACACGCAAACCCCTAATGGAAGGTCTCTCTCTTTTTTTTAATTGTTGTCACTTCTGCTTGCTATGGGGATAAGGGATTGCTCAACGGGCTTCTGGCCGAGACAGGCAAGGTGGGAATCTAGCTGGTCTGTGGGCCTCCACATGGGCTTTTCATGGATTCCATGTTCACGTGTCATTTGGGGTCTGATCCTATGGGTGATTTTGTCCCCACTCCTGCCACCATCTGTCCAATGGGCCGTTTCAGTTCTCAGGGTCCCCACTCTCTTGACACGATTCCTGCTCAGCAGGCCCATGTTCTCCCACTTCCTGAGCCAAGAAGGCCCCTTCGTTAGGTTTATCTGCACTGCAGGCTGGTGAGTGTGCAGCCGAGAGCCCGGGCTGAAAGGAGGTGGTGTGAGTGTGCGTGACAGCTGCAGGAGGTTTCAGCCTTGTCAACCAGTGCTCTTTAAACGAACACCCAGGACGAGACAGAGCAGAGCCCATGAGCATCTGTTGAGGCTGGCTTGGGAGAATTCCTTTTCTTTGCATGAATCTATTCCCGAGTCAGAGGTGATTCCCGCTGCTTCCACTAGGCTCGGGATACCAAGTGTGAGACCCAGTTTCAGAATCCAGAATCTGCAGAGCCAGTGGGTTTCTCTGAGGGGATGAGGGCTCCCAGCAGGAGAGGAGGAGATGGCTTTCGCTCACAGATGCCCCAGGATGGTGCCAGTCCTCCTAGGTCCTTCAGTGACCAAAGGGCATTGGTCAGCATGACAGGCTCGACACTCCATCTTCGGTGGTTCAGTGAAGGAAAGTGAGGCAGAGGAAGGAAAGGTACGACATTCTGGGTATTTTGGGGGTCAAATCTGAGGTGCCAACTCTTTTTTTCTGAGAATTTCTCAAGCCTCTGTCAAACAGAATGCGTAATCCTTTTCCTTCACCCGTCGGAGCATCTTACAAATATTCTCTGTGTGCTAAGGGCTTCCCAGGGCTGCAGGAGCCCAGGAAGCCACAACCAGGCTCTGGGGCAGATGTTGGGGAGGGAGCAGGAAGATGCTCCACCACTGTTGGGAGCTCCTGTCCAGGATGTTTGGGGAAGGGGTAGGTCAACACACCGCTCAAACAGCCGCCTTTCAGCAATGATGGATGGCGACAGCACAGAGACCCAGATATGGAGGAGGCATGCACACTTCCTCTAAGAGGCATTTGCTGGGCACCTGGGATGGGCCAGGCTCTGTGCTAGAATTCAAAGCTAAATAAGACCCGGACTTGCTGTCGAGGAGGCACAGTCAAGGGGAAGAAGCAGCACCAGGCAGATGTACAGGTATAACCAGACTGGTTCACCCACCCAAGAGGCAGGAGCACCCTGAGGACCAGCCTGGTGTTCTTGTAAGGTTAGCAACTCAGAGGATGCAACCTTCTGCCACAGTATCTCTCCTCTCACATTTGGAGGAGCGCCCAAGGGGCTGCACGAGCACCCAAATCAGCACCCCAAGTTCAGCAGCTGCTCTGGCATCAGAACCACCCCAGCATCACTGGGGGGTGATGCAGCCTAAACGTTCATTCATTAAATCAAAAGATGTCCACTGAGTGCTTACCAGATGGCAAGCATTGTGCCCGTTGTCAGAGAGGGAGAACGGAGGACTCCCCAATGGGGAGGACAGACCCATAAACAAATCACATGCCTTAAAATGAAGAACCAAATCCAAGATACGGATGCAGGGGAGGGAGAGCATAACACCCTGGGATGTGAGTGTTTGGGATGAGCCAGGAGGGAAGAGCTGCAGCTTGTTTACCAATAGGCATGATGGGCTCAACGCTGGTCTTCCCTGGAATTCACAGGCCCTGTTCTGATCTCATTACCTCTGCCCTTCCTGGTTCCTACTCCATGAAAGAGCATCGGAAGATACCAACGTCAGAAATGGCAAGTCCAGACACAGACCAAGTTCCGGGATGCTTCTCCTGCTGCTCCTGTCAGCATCTCCGCCACAGCCTCTTCCTGCTGCCCCAGGGACACGCCTGACTTTGATGGACTGAAAGTAATGCCCCAGCTTTACTGTGCCCTGGGCTGGGACTGCCACAGGGGCAATGAGGTTTTCCTCCTGTGGTCGCCTTCCTGTTTACCTGACTGACTCATGGGAGGTGACAGGCCAGCCTGGGGCTGGGAGTGGGGGCTGCCCCAGATCTTACAGAATGCCACGAGAGAGGAGCCTGCTCCTAAATGGACTTAACTGGTCTGTTTTTTCAGAGCTCAGCAATGTGGCCTGATAAAGGACACAGTGAGGCCCCCAACAGGGCAGAAAGGAAAGGCAGGGAGAGAACCGTTTTTTGCCTAGAGCTCCATCATATCGTAGAGAAAGAGTGCATTCTCCTAGGGGAATGCAAGGCACGCTCTGTCCTTGAGTTGCTATTTCCCCAGAGAACAGGGGTGAGGCCAGACAAGCCATGGAGGGTGGAGTGCCAGTTGTGTCATCACAGGCTTGCAGCTCCCTGACCACGGCACCCACACCCACTTTCGGGAGCCCACGGCTGGGTGGCTGAAAGGGGAATCCCTAGTGGGACCTTGCCTTGTCTTAGGCAAACTCAGGAAGGACACCTGGTGAGTGCGGGCCATGTGTTCAGGGCGGAGCCAAGAAGGCAGAGAACAATGTTTTTACTCATGGGATGAGCCCTCCCCCTTCTCCATCCTCCCTGTTGTCCCCTCCAAACAGCCTCATCTCATTAAGCAAAGACCCCAGACTTTTCACTGAAGGGGGAAAGCTGGCTATAGTCCCAAAGTGTGGCAACATCTACCTTGCGGGCAGGAGTGGAGAAGGTAGGGAGCTTCCTGAGAACGCAGAAGCCCTCAGGCTCCAGCCCAGAAGCTGTGCCTGAGATGCTCAAAGACGTGGATCCCCCTTCAATTCTTGGACGTGGCTTTGCTGGACTGGTTTGGGGCACTGGCCACACCACGCCTCTGCTTCAAGCACAGGGACTGGGTTTGGGGGTGCTGTGCCCGCTCTGACAGCATTTCTGCCTCCAGCTCTCTCTCTGGCTTTGTGCTTGATGCTCCTTTCTTGGTGTGAACTGGGTCCAGGAGAGAAGCCAAGGCCCTGCTATCCATGACCTCCTCACTCCCTGGTGGTTCCACACATTCTGGAAAGTTCTATTGGGGACTGACCAGGAGCATCAACAAGATGGACCACTGATGTGATTGGCCTGCCCCACCCATGGGCCACTTCCATCCTACCCAGAACATCTCAGCACTGACTTGACTTTAAGAAAGCTCTGATAACACGCTAATGACCTTTCACTTAATCATCTAATCCATGCTCAGAGCCCAGATCAATTCCCACCTATTTGATGATACCTTCCCTGTCAACTGCAACTTGCCACCGTCTTCTCCCTCCCCCTTACACATTCACAGTATCTAACAACCACCTCGCCTCTGGCTTCCTTCATCACTTCCTGTGCAGCTCCATTTGCCATGCCTTCACAAGACCCTGCAATAGGGGCTGGGGGGCAGATGTAACATGGTACTCCCATCCCTCAGAGTTGCTTCCAAGGCAGTCGAGAAGATGTATATGCAGAAACAAGCATCTCACATGGTTCCATGAGAGAGATCCAGAGAAAGCGTTATGGGAGTAGAGAAGGAAAACACTGCATTGACCCGAGGGGAGGCAACAGAGGGGACCTCACAGGACGCCTCTGGAAAATGATCTTCTGAAACACACAGGATTTGGATGTCAGGGCTCAGTTTAGGAAAAGACTTTCTGGTGGAAGAACAGAGTGCACAAAGACATGGAGACAGGAAATGGTGGATGGCTATGGGGGGAACCACCAGGACGGGTCCCAACCACCAACTAGCTCCTTCAAGCTGGCCTTGTCGGCACCTGGGCTTCCCTCCCGCCAGCTTTACTGTTTGGCAGCTTTCTGTCCAGGGCCAACTGTGGGCCGTGACTTAGGGAGGCTGCGGCCAACTGTGGGCCGTGACTTAGGGAGGCTGCACTTCTTGGGGAATAAGTAGAAGCAACAATTTGGGCACCTGTTGTTAAAACCCAAAGTCAGCCACCCGGCTCAGATTTCCCACCCACGGGTAGCTGACTTGTAACCCCAGTCGACACCAGGATGCCCTCCCTGGGCCTCCACTTCATGAGGTGGTCCTGAAAATACTGCCTGCCTGAGAGGTGATGGAGCTGCCCACGAAGCACTCCTCAGCTGCCCCATTTGCTTGTGCAGACTCCCCAGAGAGCCCTGCAGTTGGGTAAAGCTCAGCATGTGGGGGTGGGTTGGGTCCGGGCTGTGCCTTGGGAGCATGGAGGCTGTGTCCCAAAGGCATTGCTTGTCTTTGCGACCCAACAGCCCTCTCCTGCCTGGAGACTGCCTGCTCAGCCTTCCCAGCTGAAGTTGTGTGCCAGGGGCTGGGGGCCCGGCCGTGCTAGGTTTTCCCAATGGATAAAGTCAACTTTGTAACCGAAGGGCTGACCTAGGAATCTAATCATGCAAATAAGAATTTGGATCGTCTACATCAGAATCACCTGGGAACTCCAAGGAACCTTCCAGGAGATTCTGAATCAGTGGCTCCAGGCGAGCCCTGCAAATCTTTCTTTTTTTTTTTTTATAAACAAGCATACAATACCCTTAGAAGAAGGGATGGAGTCAGTCAGAGCTGGATTGACAAATGGTTACAAACACCTACTGTATGTATGGCAGCCACATCCTGGCCTTGTCTGTGCCCCAAATCACCCTGTGAGACCCGCCTAGAGAAGGCCTCCCAAGTGCCTTCCAGAGCAAGAAACATGTCCTTTGCTTATCCTGTCCCCATCCAAGGGGCAATGCTGCCACCTGCTGGTCAGTTCTAGAATTGTCTCCCATTCTCCAGATGCCTGGTGAAAACAGACGCAGGAAGCCAGGTGGCATGGCCTGTGCCTCCCTCTCTTGTTCTGCCTTGAATGTCCTGTTCTGAGAACTACAGTATCCCCCAAACTTGTGCCTCTTCTGCTGCCTCTCATTTAAGCCTGTCTTCCCCGGGCAGGCACTGGTCAACAGGTAGATCCTGCTAATCCACCACCTTGCCCTGATTTCAGTTCAGTTTAGCACACACTCGGAATGAGCCCAGTGTGGGCTGGCCACACAGAGGAAAATCATTCAGGGCCCTACTTCTACAGAGGGGAGTGAAACGTGGGGGTGATTCATGAATATGGATCATTTCTATCTGAGGGGACATCTGAGCCGAGTCCTAAAGGATAAGGGGGAGTTGGCCTGGTGAAAAATGAGAACAGAGATTCTAGACAAAAGCAGTAGCAAGATGGAATATTCTGGCCATTTGAATATAGACCCTTAATTGTTTTATTTTTAATCCACTTCTTTGCTTCCCCCAAAAGGATAGAATGCTAACACTTCCCCTTAATTTCTGGGAGGATTTAAAGAATAAAAGAAAGGGAAATAAGTTTTTCAGTTGCTAAAATTAGATTCTGGGTTTCTCTTGGAAAAGTACAAGAGGGAGGCTGGGGAAGAAGCCCCATGACCCGGGGGAGCCTAGGGCAGAGAAGGCATCTTCCTACTGGAGAGTTTTCTTGGCCATTGTGGGGAGAGGGTTCTAGGCCATCACTCCCAACCTGGTCCTGCAGGGCCCCGGAGAAGGGTCAAGGCCCCAGAGGGAAGCGGCTGCATGGCGCCAGGCTGCACTGCACTTACAGCCTTGCAAAGAATTTCCAGGTCCTAGGAATGGCAGAGAGGCATCCCTGAGCCAGGAGACCTGTGAGCCCCGAGCTGAAAGAGCCTCAGATGTCTCCATGGTAACCCATGTGGACAAATGCCCAAGGACCAGACCACTTGGACCTGTGAAGGACTCGAGGACCTGGACACAGCCCCAGAAGTCGAAAAATACAAATTGAGACCACAAGGAGGACATAAAGGATCTAACGTTTTTGCACAGCAGTGCTTCGTAGCAGATTCACACTGGTCATGGCACAAAGAAGGTCAAGAAGGGGCATGAGAAGCTGGCCCCGTGGCTGAGTGGTTAAGTTCGCACGCTCCTCTTGGGCAGCCCAGGGTTTCACCGGTTCGGATCCTGGGCACGGACCTAGCATCACCCATTAAGCCATGCGGAGGCGGCATCCCACATAGCACAACTAGAAAGACCTGCAACTAGAATACACAACTATGTACTGGGGGGCTTTGGGGAGAAGAAGGAAAAAAAGAAGAAGATTGACAACAGATGTTAGCTCAGGTACCAATCTTTAAAAAAAAGAAAAGAAAGAAAAAGAACTGACATGAGAATAAAACAGAGGAGGTGCACTTATTGCAAAGCTGGTTAATAAAACTGTCTGAGTGGTGGGTGGACAGCCGAGAGTCCAGGACATTCTGTGGCTCTAGCGGTTCCAGGATCCTAGCCAAATCTTTCCCCAGACAGCCCTGTTCTGTGCCCCAGAAGGTTGTAGTCATCTGGCTCTCGGGTGCTGGCTCGGCACTTGGGACCAAATTTGACAATGATTCTCGCATAATCCTTCAGCAAAAGAATTATATACTTTCTGAAGACAAAAAAAAAAATCACCCTTCAGTAGCTCCCCATGGTCCCAGGATGGAGCCCGAACTCCTTAGCACGTCCTGCAGCATCCTCATCTCTACAGCATCACCCCCTCACCCTCTCTAACTCCAGCCATGAGAAGGGCTCCCAGCTCCCCACTTTCTCTCAGCAGCCTCCCACCCTCCCTCAGCTAACTCCTGTCTACCTTCCAGGCCTCTGTGGAGTCATTTTCTGAATCCCCATGACAGCGCCATGGCTGGGTTAAAGCTGTCTCTTTTGAGCTCCACATACTCTGGTGTTTGCCCCATCCTGGCCCTCAGCACACTCTAAAACCACCTGCTCACTCTTCATCTGTTCACCGCACTGTGGACCACTTGAGGGAATAAACTGTGTGTGGATTGCTGTTGCACAGTACCCTGATTTAAAGAGGGTATTCAGCAGTTTTCTTAGAGAAGATGGCATTTGACATGAGACCTAAGGATTAGGGTGGGGGCAGAGGTGTGATTTCAAGAAAAGAAAGCATTCCAGCAGATGCAAAGGCCCTGGGGTTGGAAAGAACTTGGCATGTCCACGAAACACGCTGACAACACTGTGGCTGCAATGTAGAGAGGGAGAGAGCAGGTGGCATGGGATTTGGCCTGAGAGGTTCTAAATGTGGTGGGAAGTCACTGAAAAGTGTTAAGCTGGATAGAAATGTTATCCTATACCCTCCAAATCATCTCTTCCCATTCCTGCTCTCACTGAACACAGGCTTTCTTCTGAGCACAGTCCCCTGCCGCCTACTCAAGTGCTGACTTATTTTTCTCTTCCACATTCCTCCTACTGCTGGGTGGGCCATGCGTCTTCCTCATTCCTTCTCGCTGTTTCAGGCCATTCTTCCATAAAATTTCTTGGCTTTGAACATCAAATCAAGCCACCTCCCCTCATTGGTACAGTCTCCCACAAACCCCAGATCACTTCCCCTCACTCCTCATATGGACCTCAGCAACCTGGCTCATGGGCTCTCTCATCCACACCATCCTGTCATAATTCTTGGGGCTACAGCCCCCACAGCTAGCTTCTCAGTCCCCTGAGCTCCTCTCCTCCAATGATCTCATCCTCCACCCTATCTCAAATACTCACTCAAACGGCTAAAGTCCAGCACCTGCCATCCATAACAACTACAGCCCCTCCAAAGTCTCCGTTTGGTGCATCCCATTCTCTGACCAGCACCTCCCACCTTCCCAGCTCGCCGCTCCTGAAATCCCATCGCCAACCATCTTTTGTTCCTGTGGGATTGCTGGCTTCTCCACCTTTTAACTCATCCTACTCCCCTCATGTCATCTCTGCCCACCTTACTCGGCTTAAATCCCATGG